ATTCCATTGTTTTCTTTTGTGTCTATTTGACTATGACACATTGACTAGTATTTTTTCTTTCACATGTTGAATGCCTTCACTCTACTACTTCTATTACTACTAGTCAATAGAATATGAAGTAAGAGAGCACATCTCCCATACATGGGTCTGTAACCATAAAAGTGTTTTGAAAATCTATTTTTCGCTCTGCGCGCAAGGCTGAGCTATTTTTAGCATGCGATTCCTAATTGGTCAGAGTTGTAGTGACTTCAATTTATTCATATTATTTCTTTTATACACTGCACCGATTGGTGATATTTTGCGGAAGTGCAACATCAACTTTCATCTATATGCTGATGACGCACAAATCTATTTCGCATTTTCTACATCTTCCTCAATTGAGCTCAATACAGCGAAACAACAAATTGAGACCTGTGTTTCAGAAATTGATAGATGGATGACTTGCAACAAGTTGAAACTAAATAAGGACAAAAGTGAAATTCTTGTTTTATCAAAACCTCGTCGTCCTCTACCACCCATTGCATCTCTTGAAATTTCGAACTCTGCTATTACTCGATCTACATCTGCTCGGAACATTGGTATCAYCTTTGATATTTGTCATTGGAAGATCAGATACTTTCTGTATGTAAGACCTGCATTTTTCAAATTCATGATATTTGAAAAATTAGAAATACTCGAGTCGTAATGCATATGAAACTCTTGTCCATGCCCTCGTATCTTCAAAACTTGACTTCTGTAATTGCTTACTTAATGGTCTTCCAAATACTTCTCTCCAAAAATTGCAACATGTACGAAACGCAGCTGCTCGACTTATTACCTTTTCAAGAAAACAAGATCATATTACTCCCATCTTATATGACCTGCACTGGCTACCTGTAGAACAGCGTATTGTCTTTAAGATCGGCTACTACTCACTTTCAAGGTCTTACATAATCAGACTCCTTGCTACTTATGTGACTCGTGAACTATGGAACAATCTACCACAGAATATTAGATCCTCTGTTTCAATATCACAGTTCGAGCAAAGGGTCAAAACCTGGCTTTTTCAACAAGCACGTTATATGTTCAAATTTGCTGAAGTTTTAACATTAAAAATCAAAAAAAATTCTCCACAACTTCCTGATCAAGCATTTGAATTGTTTACGCAATAACAAAATACTAATGATGAAAAGGYAAATTATACACCGTRAAAAGATGAAAAAACTTACTGACGTTTCGGACCATGGCACAGAATGCCTATTGCTTTAGGGACATGCACTTACAGTTCAGATTCTCACGTACATTTCAATGGGTGGGCATAAATTTGAATAATAATAGAATTCCTCAAGTTCTGATTGGTGAATGCATTAGAGCAAAGCGGGGAGCGGGAAGCTGCGAAGCGTATCCCTCGAACGAAGTGTGAGACTKACAAAAACCTCCTCTATTGTCTTTATAATCCGTGTTTGACAAGTGACCTCCACGCATGTAAACAAACTAATATCTATTCTTCTTACCAAACTTTTTTGACCAGCATAGGAATTTAGTTTATAAATTGAAGCTTACGGCTCTTTTGCAAGCTAACCGACAAATAAACTCAATACAGTAACTCATATGCTTGTTTAAAGGAAGGATTTAAAACCTAAAGCCGGGTAAACTAATCGGCTAAATCTGGCGGCCAAAGACAGAAAACTCTGTTTTCTCTTGTCGTTCATAAAAAAAAATTTTTCTATCAAAAACCGTTTAATGAAAATRAAAAACTGTTTGAGTAAAACCTTTATAAACAGAAAGTTTCGCGTACTTCTTGTTACCGGTAAATTTTTATTCCTGTTCTCGATTCCGAAGCTTTTCTTTTATAAATTAAAAGTCAAGGAGACGCTTAATATGCAGTTAGCCTTTATGGAGCTGCCGATCTTCTACTTTCTTGAATGAGCGATATGAATCGATAGCATATATAGCATATGAGTCATGACAATTACTCATTTGGTGGCTCCTAAAAGAGCCGTTGTTTGTTTTTAAAAAAAATTAGTCGTTTTTACTCCGCATAAACTCACGTGGTGCGTCGCCTCGTAAGGCGTTTTGCCTTACGAGGTGTGGAGCAAAACTCAAATCCCTCTCAAGTTTGTGTGATAGCTCACAACTAGACTCTCCAGCTTCTTTAACGCTTGCCTTCTTCTCAAGTGGTGGCGTTTTTGGTACGTTGTTATCTGCCATGATGTATTTGTGAACTAAGTACGGAGCATTCAGTCTAACTTTATATTCTAACTGCTAGGATCGAATCTATCTCARACTTGAAGTCCAATCAGGACACGTATTTGGAATMTTTATATGAACACCAATCAAAATTATTCTTAACTACTTGACCTTTGACATTTCTTTGTTGTGATTGGTCGATGAAACGTCAAAACTTTATTCAATCGC